TTTCTACGTGACTTTACCGAAAAAAACAAAGAGTAATAAATGTATGTTAATAGCTTCAAAAAGCCACCACTTGTTCGCCATCATTGTCAACACGTGTCTGGAATCTTCTACAGGTGGTCTCCAGAGCCCTGAGGCAAATTTCGTGTGGTATTGTTGCAAATTCTCAGAAGTGTTAACACATTTTTTTTAATCACCATGTATATAAGTGTCTAGGAATGCATATATTTTTACTCTTTTTACTGAGACTGAGAAAGGCAGCTACCGTGGTATAATGGTTAGCACACCGGAATTGCAATCCAGAGATCGCCGATTCGACTCTATCCCTCGGTGTGGCAAAGTGAAACAATGGTGCAGGTTTCTTAAATGCCCCGGTCTATATCCACCCGGCAGTGTAAATGGGTTCACCACAGGTAGGCGATCGGCAGGCCGCAAGTGGCAGTGCAAAGTATTGGACTACTCCCGCCCCTTCCAAGGGTCAGTGTGGAAGAGTAGACCAAATGCCGCCTCGTGTTCCCTCTCGCGGAGGCCCTTCTCTGAGCAGTGGCTACAGTAAGCAGACCGGCACCTTTGCCTTTTAACTGAGAAACGAGAGAAACATTTTACCGCTCGGTGATTTAGATCGCCCTAGAATTGTACTCAGGTCGCCGAGTCCATAGTTCAGTGCGCTAACCACTGTCCCGCTACTCTTCCCCAAAACATTAAATACCAGATGGCATGATTAATTGCACAATGTCAGCACAAGCTCTTAGAACATCACGTTTTCAACAAGTGACGAGTATAGTAAATAGTCTACCCTTAATAAAATAAACTCAATGCAAATCTAAAACTCAACAGAATTGTTGGCATTGCAGTGACATACCATGAAGCGGCATAAAGTGGCATGAAGTGCCAAAATGATGTGTAAGTGAAAAGGTGCAGCATTTGTTATTAGTTTACACTGGTAGATATGTGCCACAGTGTCAGCTATATAAATGAAATAATACATTTTAATGTATGCCCCAGAGTTGGTGTAGATATTCAATTCAGTTTAGTCGTTTTGACATCACCGGATTTTGTTAAAGGTGAATGTATCTGACCTCCACAAACCTGTGCTGAAAATCTTATCGAACATATTGTGAAACATGTTTATTCACATACAATGAATGGTCAGTTTAACGCGTAGGCTTTCGAAGCCAATATCATCCATAGTACAGTTTATTGGAGGGTTAGATCGCATAAATATATAAATGTGTCGTTAAACCCGGCACACCCGACAGCCAATCAGTAAGGTTTGTCATGTAAACAAAACATGCCAATTCGTTACGAGTACAGCACACCGGTCAGGTATGTTTTATTACAAAAGGGTACTCATTGGATTATAGTGAATGAAGAATGGATTTGGACCACCAATAGGCTCTGGTTCAAAATCATGAACAGGTCTATCGCCCAAAGAAGGAATTATTTAGATTTCAAACTTTCGTGACTGCATGGATTAATCTTCTTGGTTATTTCGGTATTATTTCCCTTCTACGTGACTTTACCGAAAGAACCAAGAAGAAGGAATTATTTATCTTATGATCTATATATACGCGGATAATTTGTATGTATTTATGGATGTTTGCCTGGAAAACTCCTGATAGTCCACTCTTGCAATGAATTAAGTTATCATATGTGGTTTATGCAATAGAAGTCTAAATTATTGAAAAAAAGTAAAATTTCTCCAGATATTTTAGCAAATTAGAATTAAGTCTTTTTGATGTCCATGATTTCTACCATTTAAAATAGCTTTCCATGTGCCCGAAGCCTCATATCATCATCATACAATGGATAGATGTACACAATTGGGGAGGGATGGCCGTGGGAGCCCGTTAAATGGGCTCCCACTACGTTTAAGAATACATTCAAATAATACATTGCAGCCCTTTATATACACTGCTCGATGAAGGCCTCCTGACACTGAGTTGGTCACGGGGTTTGTTTTGAGCATACATCAGCGTTGCTGGTCAGTGTAGGTTGGTGAAGGGCAGTGCTCCTGGACTGAATCAGACTGGTTCTGATATGACTCACCGCTGATGTTAGCAATGGCCAGGAGTTTAACTAAGGTGCCTGTGGTGTATCGTCCAGTGTATTAACCACCGAGCCACCATTCCACCCACCTGTATTATTTACATCTATATTTAACATTCTCACATAAACAATAGGTAGTTCGCAGTTTTGATTTTAACACTGCAACATACTTTTTTGCTTTTGCGTTTTGGCATGGTTATCAGTTGGATGGTAAATCCTTAAGCAACATGCAGAAATAACAGTTTAATGTTGTCATCATCTGAAGAGTTAACAAACCATGCTTAGAATGCCGGAATGTAAATCTTGAGGTTCAAGGCCCGTTTTGGGCCTGTTTCCAATACTTTTGCGATTAAACAACATTTCTTGGCATTGGGGAAGGATAAGCTTTTTTACAATGTTAAATTCCATACACCAATATTAGACAGAAGCATACATTATTTTGGCACTGTTCCAAATTCATTACGATTCCAACAAATAATTTACACATTTGTCTGCTGTTCAAATGCTTTCTTCGGCCTGAGAACTCACACGCCTGTCTTTTACAGTAACTTGTGTTTATTTTTGACCATCTAATTCCACTGGGCTAACGTGTCTCTAGACACTATGTGGAAGATTTGATGATGGTCATGATGATGATTTTTTTTTATAGCCGTGTCGATTTCGTTTTCAAGGCTGCACATTGTTTTACGTTTTAGCTCATGCGTCTTATTGGTCAAATACTATATGGCAGCAGTCAACATTACGTTTGCCAATTTGCTGTCAACATTAAGGTTTTATTTCGTGAAAGAATCATGGATAGTCAGCCTCAAGATTGTTCTTTGTTTAAAGTAATTACGGTAATTCAGTGGTTTGTCATGCTTGCTCACTGTTATTGAGAAGGGTGTGAATAACCATGGAATGATAATTTATGTCGTTTAAGGTTTTCGTTTTCAGGGTTTGAACATGTTGTTGATGTGCTATTCAGTACATTAAATTAATAAATATATACGGTAATGTATGTCTACTTTGCTGGTTCATCAGCTCTTAATCATTAATCTGGTCAGCTAGCACAGTAATAGAAACAATGTAGATGATGCGATGATGAAAAGTCATGTATCGAATGAACATATATAATATTTCATACAAAGACAGTATTGTTTTGCTTCTTGCAAACACTTCGTATTACCCATCTTACAGATGCATACAGTTTTCATTATAGTTTTTTTCCCCTTTACCTAGGGATAGAGATGGGTGCTTAGAGACCTTGTGTAAGTATACAGCCTTTGACTTACGTTATGGCTGTTGGTAACTAATTCCCTGCTGTCCTTTCCAATTGCCTCAGGCAAGTCCTAGTGGGAGTGCTAGGACATGAGGGCTGCTCTGGTTTCCAGCTGACTGTGTATATATATACCTTATGTGTGGTATAAATGCATTGTTTCTCTTTTGTTATGTCATAAAAGGTCTGGCCCAGCTCAGGTTGTGTGCGTCGGGTGTTTTATAAGCCTATGGTCAGCTCTCTAGGGCTCTGCAGAAACTTCACAAGTATTGGGTTCCCATGATGATTCTAAACTCTAATGCACACGAAATAATATCTTGATATTTGAGCCGGTTTACCTACTGTGAAAGAAAGTTATTTCTGTGTCACCTTCAGGTTGGGCCATGTGATTTTTTTCTTGCAGACATAAGGTGCCGCGGCTATGTTTTTATTAAGAGATGAAGGGCCAGCTTTAAATCGTACTTCCTATTACATTTTCAGATATATGCCTAAGGCTTCTATAAGTTATTGAATAAAGAAACCAAAGCAGCAACACATTCGTGATTTATGTTTGTTATACCGCGAAACTGTGGATTTTTTTAAAACAAATGCTATGGCGGCTCCTTTTTTTTGCCAAGGAATGCTGAGGAATGTTTGCTGTCAAACTGCTATACTGTAGCTGGTGTTTTCTTTAGTACTGCATTTGCTCAATTCCATTGATTTTAGCAGCTGCTCACGAAAGCAGAGGAAACTACGGGGAAAGCGGTATAACCTATTTATTTTACCAGACGTAAAGAATGCCCAAAAATCTGGCACATTTTCGGGGGTTATTTATTGTATGATATGCGATTTTAATCTCATTTTTCCACTTCATACACGCCCGTGTGTGTAAATTGATTTCAGTACAGCACACTTGACGACATTTATAAATTGTTAGATCCCAACGCAGGGAATGTGTTTATCAAACAGGACATTCTGCCTGGGCTTCACTGTGACGGTGACCTTGCAGAGTGTCCACAACCAGGATTAAACCATTGTGAGCTGTTAACCTCAATTTCTTCCAATTTCCTGGTGTCTTCAGTCATGCATTCTTCAGTGGTTACTATGTGGGCAGAATAAATATATTGTTTCATCTGCATTAGAGATCGGAGATCGACTTTAATGCTATCTGCTGGCTACAAATGAAAAATAACATCTCAAATAGTTTACATTCTCTAAATAATTGTCTCTTGGTGGTATTTTCCGCAGCATTACATTTCTAAATATAAACAAATTAATCATTCTGAATGATTGCTGAATATTCAAGTGCAAGTTTTTGGTAGCTGTAATGATGCTTGAGCAGCCTGTCTTTAACTGTCAAAAGTCAGCGTCCACTATATCATATTTTTTATTCTTGAAATGTATATTGCCATAGATGCTGACATGGTGTTATAGTTATCACATGGACTTGCAATCCAGAGTTTACCGGTTTGATCCCCCAGCACGGCATGAACAAGATTCTTAAATCCAAACCCACATCTGTCTATCCAGCAGTATAAATGGATACACCACACAAGCAACTGTCATCAGGTAGAACAGAGACACACAGAGAGAGACACACAACATAGACACACAGTGTGTCTCTGTGTTGTCTCCCTCTGCTTGTGTGTCTGTCTATGTGTCTCCGTGTCTGTGTTTTGTCTCTCTCTCAAATTTAGTTCTACCTGATGACGGTTGCTTGTGTTGCAATCGAAACGTCGTATTCTATTATTTAATTTATTTTCTTTCTACGTGACTTTTCCGAAAGAACCAATGAGTAATTCCTGCAGTCACGAAAGCTTCAAATCAAGTTTGGATACACCACATTTAGTCGATGAGCAGGTCACGGGGTGTGGTGAGGTAAAGTGTCTGGCCATTGTGGAAGAGTAGGCCAAGATAGCCTCTACTGGGGCTGTCTAGAGCTCCCTCTAGTGGATACTAGGAGTAGCTTCACATTTATGTATTATAATTGTAATTGCATTTCACTTATATAAATAGTTAAATTATGACATTACTTAGATTTATGTTACTATTATGCTATTATAGTGTCTGAAGAGGTCGCTCAGCATTAGAGTGGCTCGCATTCAGAAGGTTGCGATTTCAAATCCTAGTTGGGGGATCACTCAGCCCATCATCCCTCTGGGGTCAATAAAATTATTACTACATTGTACGGAAGTCCACAGTGGTCGTCCTACGGAAGCCTCGCGCCTGCCATAGGAATGTGGAATTTCCGCCACTGCCTCAATGCTGTAAATAGGAGATGAGCACCGCCTCAATGCTCAATTGCGTATAAAATAACTTCCACTGCCATTGTTGTTATACCACACTGACATTTGGTGCTACTGATTCAAGGACAATTATTCAACGATTACTCGAACCTGCTACATACTCCACTCATGATGTAAACTCTGCCGACACTGCAACATGTGGCAATGTTCTGCTATGCCATAGTGGTCTGATGTGCATGTTGGATGGGTATCTTCACCAACCCACAGCGAACAAATTATCTGAAACCACGTAAGGCATGTTTAGGAAGAGGAAAAATATAACACTAGATTGAAATGCCTCATAAAAGATTGGAATTGTAAAATTATCAGAAAAAAAACAGGTTCATGATTTCTTAAATTCTCAGATGGTAGTCCTTAAGGAGAAACATGGGACCATAGCACCGACAGAGATAACAATCTTAAAATTAGTGGAGGAATGTTATGCTGATAACAACAGAAAAAAACAATATCCTTGGAATAAAACCATTTTATGGAGAGGAAGAAGAACTTTACAGATGTTACACTTGAAGAAGCATTCACGACCCTTCACTGTATGAGACATTGGAATTCTACTGGACTAGGCATAACTATGGGTATCGCCAGAGAACCATGACCAATGGTTGGAACTTAATTCGCAGATAATTCATGACTAAATATTTACACGTAACTTAAATACCTCAATTGTGTAACGACCCCTCTCTTCTATATGAAAAAAGACATAATACTGACTTTGTAATCATTGTTTGTAATTATTGCACTCTATATTACCTGCTGTGACATGGGTCTGAAACATGGACATTGTAAAATAAAATCAAACAAAGGCTGCAAAGTGCACAAAGAGTCGTCGAGAAGTGCATGCTTTGAATTACACACACATATAAGAGAACATACACAAAGTAAATACCCTATGACTGACTAGAAAAAGCGGGGTTGGGAAGGACGTATGGCGAGAAGGGATGAAGGATTGCGGTCCAGATTATGTGCAGGAGCTAGATGGATTTGACACATCGCAGGACCATGAGGGATAGTGACAACTTGGGGAGATCATCATCCGGCAGTTGATAGATCATGCATGATGATGGTTGCAGAATATTATTATTTCAAGGTTATGTAAAAATTAAATGGCGAATTATTATTTTTTCAAACTGCATTCTGCAAAAAAATCATGTAAAATGTGTAAACGTACTCGGACTAGTTTTGGGTGTTGTTCAACTATGTTGGCAATCCCAAAGCAGGGATAAGAGTCCATGGTCTTATGACAGAGATCACCGGCCTGTCTGCACAACATCCACAATTGACTTCTCACAAAGTGGTATTTATTTGATTGCCCCAGCAAGGGTGATGGCTTAAATTGATTTCGTTCTTCCACAGTTGTATGCAGATAATTGCTCTTTGATCTTGTCCATTTTATTTGAAAGTGTGTACGCAATTGCCTCTTGAGCAGGGAAATATTTAAGACTAAATTAAGCAATACGTGCAATCGCACACACACACACAGAATATGTAGGCCAGCTGTTGACTCGGTCTAAGTGGTTATTTTGTCTGTGACTCTGCCGAGAGAGAACTTTCTACAGCAGCCAATGGGGCAGGGAAGTGGAAAGGAGGCCGGAGCAAACAGTGGCTCAGCGACATATGAGGAGGGCCCTCCCCCCTCCCTCTCCCTCGCTGCACTCTGCCTGGAGACGTTTGGCTTTGCGTTCACACGTCCCCCCCCCCCCCCTTTATCATCGCTTTCTGCGAGGCTTTGCGGCCACACGGGGTTTTGCACGTCTGCGCACGGCCGATAGACAAACGCCACAAGGCGCTCCCCCCGTTCCCTTCACGCCACCCTGGTGCTTCTACGTACTCGCGACGAGACACGACGCTTCATTTTTCCCATGGTACGGTAAACAAACTTGCACCGGACCAACATTTTGGGCAACAGTGAGGTTTGATAGGTTTGTTTGGGGGAAGAAAAAAAGGTGTGATTTACATTTCAATGGCTTGTTAAATATTCTTTTGTTGAAGTGAATGATGCGTGTTTTTTTTCTGTACATAAACACAAGCTTTAATTTTGCATGATGTTTTGTATTTCTATTCATATTTAATTTTAAGCATTAATTTACGATTCTATATATTTTTAAGTGATTTGTTTGCATTGGAAGTTATGTTTGTAGTTGCTGTTGACAAAATGTATCGGTTTTTTGCAAAATGCATTTGAAAAGACGGGACACTAATGTAAACCAGATACTACAGTACTGTATATTATTTTTTACAACAGTCTATTACAAACACTTCAAACATTGTCTTATGCCGATTGTAGATATTGTACTTCATCCATATCCAAAGAAAATATATGACATACAGCATTCATTAGGACCTGAAAACCACACTTTCCAGAAGATTTTTCTATACAGCCGAACTTAATTTTCTTTTGGAACTCAAACAAAGAAGAATACCTGTCATCTCAAACTGTTGCCAGACCGTACTGGGTCCCGAGCCAGCTCTTAAAATGCTCTTTTTAAAAAAAAAATATCAGCATGGAAATATGGTTATACTATTACAGAGCCTACTGCATAGAATAAAATACTCTGTGGTGCTAATTTTGTAAGCAGTAAACATTCATTGCACGTTTTCTCTATCAACATTAGCATTTACACATAATATGTAAAAAATACTTCCTGTTTGAACCTCTAACAAAGTAAATCTACATTGTACAGCAGCAGTCTGGCCATGTATTTTTCATACATATTTCACAACAGCAGCATGCATTTTCATTCGTGTGAAATTTGATGAAAAGATCATAAATTGTGTTCATTGCTTGTAGAACAAAGCTCTGTGTCAGAAGGTTAATATAGTAGAACTGACCCATAGAAACGTGCCCCCTTTTGGGGCCACTAAGCAGCCTATGAACACCGACGTGAGTAGTGTCATTAATGTGAGGTGCGCTGGCTGGCTGTCAGTCTCGCAGCGTATACATTTAGTCACGACAGGTGTGAGACATTCTGAAAAGCTGTGCTTTATTTGTTCCCTGCAGTATATTTCAAACATCAGTGTGCAGCTATGTCAGGAATTTTGTATAACGTAATAACTTCCTCTCATAACGTGTTTAGACTTAACTTTTTGTTCTGATGTGCAGTTATATCACCGGTGGAATCCAAAGCGGTTTGTATGAAGAGGTAAAATAAACAATACTCACAGGCAATTCCTCTTTCGTAAAATCTGGCATTTGTAGGAATGATATTTAATAACATGCATTCTTACTATCATTCGCTGTTGGCATTGCCAGGCCTAATCAATTTATGACCATTGGTTTTAGACAATGTCGAGATTTATGACTTCAAACAACAGCTGTTTTGCATTTTTCTTTCAAAAGCAGGTGTGGAGTTTTTTTTTTAATCCATTTTTGGCAAAGCGTAAGCGAAATTGAATTCTGGGAGCCATTTGGGCTGCTTGGCTACTGGAAAGTCAGTACCTAGCCCTGCAGAAATGTTGGCAGTCCTGCGATAGTGTGGGTGGGTGCTGCAAGAAAGAGGGAGAAAAAAAAAGGAGAGTGCCAGGAAAATGAGCAGAAGGCAATGTGCGAGCCTAAAGCAATGCGCCTAATATTTGGATTAGGATATAGAGTAATTTGGTTAGTTTTTTTTTCACGTGCATACCACTTTAATAATTTATATTGCTCTGGCTTATATTTCACTGTGTGCTAAGCCAGCGTTTAGTCTCAAGATGTATACACATTAGAAGCCGTGTAAATTGCACGCAATATATTTAAAAAAAGAAACAGCCTCAGAAAGGGTCGTAGACAGTGCAAGAATGCGCACAGTCTCATTAATGTTTGCTGGCCCATTCCCTTCAACCTCAAGCATCTGTACTTCCTCAACCTAAGAGACAAAGAAAGACAGTTTTATATATATACACAACGTGCAGAATATACGTACATTTTAAAAGTTAAACCTCCAAAGTTCTTGAATTAATATGGTTTACATAAAACCCTTTATATGTAAAATTCCATTAAACGTATTTTGTATTTATTAATTACGCTATACATGGAATGGATGTATTATAATGGATGAAAATAACGTGTAAAAATACAAACAATAAATACATGCATATGCTATTAAACGTGACCATATTTGTTATAATAAACTGCAGTAGGCTGACGTTTTGGTGAAGAGACAATCCGACGAACCTTCAGCCACTCCACTGAAATGTCTTTAGTGTTACTCTTGAGGAAGGGGCATTCCTAAAATGCATTAGCCTATTACATGTTTCTTATCAAACTGGTTCATGGTGAACATTCTGTACGTATCCGTGCATGCTTAACCCTTTGCCAACGTGCATGTACGTGTACAGGCCGTATTTGCTGTTAATCGACTGTTAGAATGAGGGCCTTGCCACGCCGCACCGGGCCCGTTGAGGATGATTTGATGATACTTCACCCTGCTTGTCGGTGCGGTTTGGTGACGGTAGGGGGCGAGTAGAAAACAAACGTGGATTTTGCTTCGCTGCCCACAACGCCTGCGACACCTAGACGAGTATAAATACATACATTTAATCGCCATGCTTGTTTGTATGCCCGATATCGTCAGATTGTTGAAGCTAATCAGATTTTGGGCCTATTAAGTGATTTGGATGGGCGATCGGCGTGCATAAAACATACCACTGGCTCTCAGAGTCCTTGAATTGTTCATGCCAACAGCATGTGAACACAGTACAAAGCTGCAAATACCACCAAGATGATCCACTACTTGCCATTGTACTCAAACAAAGCCTCCTCCATAAGTGGGGCCATGTGGCCTAAAGAGACATCACGATTGCCTCGATATACATACATTCATTCCAAATGGTTTCAAGATAATTTATGTTTAGCGCATACTTTGTACCAAATCTGAGCTCTTAAGTTCTGCTTTGAATAAGCGCACCGCCTTAAAACAAACGGGGGCATTTATTGTGGGTTGTTCATATTACATACAATTTCATGAACATAAAACGAATAATACAGTGGACATTTTTTGTTAGATATATAGCCCTCTGTCAATCCACTGCTGTATACATACCTCCCCATTACATGCCAGTCATGAGGTTATCTGACCATATTTCACCATGCTGGTTAGTGCAGAAGCAGGGGACCACAGGACCGGCTCACATATCACTCACCCACGGTCGAGGAGCAAACTCAGGATGCCGGGTTCAAAGTGCAGTGCGCTAATCACTGTTCCATCACTCAATTCCTTATCTTATTCTTTGGCGATTGTTCTATTCCTCTGCTGAGTATAGTTTTAAGAAATTATTATACAATCGTTGACCATAGCGGATGTTTTGATTTGATACCATCATTTTAAACGTTTTGCCGTGTTTAAAAAAAAATGCATAATTATGATGTGCTTGATTTTGTGCAGATATTTAACGTGGCTTGACCCAAAGCATTCACGTGTTGCCACGGCACCCGTTATCTCGTGCTCCAGTCGCTGGGCTATCGCATGCTACGTAACCGTGGCATTATTCTCCAACCTCCCACACTCGTTCACGTTCGCTCTCATTTCGTGAAGCGCCACTCATCGTGGCGGCATTACTCGGCAGTGATTATCCATTGGAGTGTGCGCGCACACATGCAAGCCACAGTGTCCTGCTCCAGAGGAAGCTCGGTGGTAAGCATCAGCTGTAAAAACAGAGCCAGCGTTGGGTAATGTAAGACATTTCCTTTAGCCCGAGCGAAGTTTAGCAACTTTTTTTTTCAAGCACAAAATATGGCATGCAGTTTAATTATTATATTCTTCAAAGCTGGTCAAAACTCATCCAACAGATAGTTCCATTACTGAGTCAATATTTTTTTTCCTGGGTGCAATAGGATTAAAAAATAATTTAAAGAAATCCATCTGACTTGTGAGATTGTATCTGTCGTACGTTTTAATGAGTTGTGTAAGAACTTCGTAAACATTTTTACGTGGAGAGACAGATATATATGAAGGAGACGTATTGTCTGCCTACGTACAACTTAGAGGGACTCTATAGAGCTCCCTCTATTGGAGCCCCTTGCGCTAACATCAGAATGAAGGAGCGATTGCAGCGCTGCGCCTTTACCTTTTCCCTTTACCTACCAATATCCTGTCTGTCGCCTTCTGTATTGCGCACAGGATGATGGCCGACAACCAAATCAGCGCAAAGTCCTCACCATCGCGGGTGTCAAAAGCGACGCTCACTCTGGAGCTCACGTCTGCGGCAAGGCCCCCCATGGAGCCGCCTGCCTTTGCCGTCGCTCCACGAAACGCGCGAGCTCCGCTGGGCGCCACGGCGCGGTTTGATGGCAAGGTAAGGGAAAAGAATCAACAGGCCAGGGATCTGCAACAAATCATGGCTTTGGCAGCCTAACAATCGTTAAAAAAGGTCGTGGCAGTAAACCCGGTGCAATATTACCCCTTTGTAACCGCAGAGATCTTGCAGTCACTGTGATGCTCATATTGCCGTTCTAAGAACAGAACGTGAATGCAGCTTTGAAAATTCTCCAGTTTGACAAAAGAAGCAAGGCTGCAGTTAAAAAGGCTTTTTCACTATCAATGTGTTTATCCGTATAAACCAACAATTGCATGTGAATATGATTTTATACATAATGACTTAACTTTTATATTTTGCGTACATGAAAAAATAATAGATCTAATGGACCACCTTAATAATGCTGTACAAGCACAAATACAGTGAAAGAGATATTGCCCAAATCGTTAGCTATTCTATTTTTATAAGCCACTCTTTTTTTGTATGGATTATGTAGAGTAACTAGAGATTCAGTTATAAGTGATTTAGCCATTCAATTGTTGTGTTTGAGAGTTGGCAAATGATAGATAAACCGTCTTCACATTTATACTTGTGGCAGTGCAGAGTTGTGCATTTGGTGTCCAGATCTTCCATAGTTTGTGCGGATCTGGTTAAATGCTGCCCATTGTTTCCATAAAAGATTGGTGCCATGCAGTTTGGTGGTGGGGTTACTGGTCACGTGTTTGTTGGGCATGTTCCTTGGAGCCCACAAAATGGTCCGTGTCCTTTTGATGCTCAAATTCACATCACGCGGAGCCTGTGCACATTTCCAAGATGGCTTTCTGGATCTCAGCCATGATTGTGGGATATTGTTCAGATCATCGACGAATAGCAGGTATGGCTCAGCTTCTGATCGGTGCAGTCAACAGTGTTGTGGCATCACAGCGAATATGTGGTGTGATATTTGCAAGTAGAGGAAGCCAAATGTCTGAGGTGGAGTTGTGTGATAATCCACAGTAAATCTGAAACTTGCAAGCGAAAAGCAGACCGTGACGTGATATTCATTGCATCAATTCGTGTGAAATTTGTAAGGCCGCGGTTACACAGACTTATTTAATTTAAAGGTTATAATCACTTGTTCATAATTACGTCCTTTTTTACTTCTATGTCTCAACAGCGTTACGGAGATCGCGTGACGTGAGGGTTCTACCTTTGTAGTGAGGGTTGTGAGTTGACCCTGAGGAGGGGGGAGGAGGCGTCTCGCCCCCCCCATGTGGAGTGACGTCAGCCGCTAATTATTATTAATGGGGGGGGGTGTCCATTTGGAAGACGTCACCGCTTCATGATTATTAATGTGGGGGGCTGTTCGATGTGGAGTGACGTCACCTGCCCATGATGCTTAATGAGGGGGGGTGCTACATGTGGAGTGACGTCACCCGCTCATGATTATTAATGAGGGGGGCTGGCCGACGTGGAAAGACGTCACGTGCGTTACACACTGACATTCTTGGGTAAATATAGTAGTAAATGTTGAATTTGGTGGGTATTCATGTGTTCTAATGTATATACATTTTATATTTAGTTTACAAGTTCTATAGAATGAGATGCAATTGCACCTGTATGAACGTCTGCGATACTGGCGGCTTTCATTGTAGCCTCCTTGCCACTGATCCTCATAGTTCTGTAGGAGCCATGTTACCTGTCAGTGTATCTTGAGAATATGAAAATGGCACAATCGGTGTTGCTATTAAATTAGGCAAATCTGTAGACTTCAGTTGTTGATGACCGTGACACACAAACCTGTATGTGTCCTGAGGCGAGATAGGCTCAAAATAATCCAAGAGCAAAATGATTTTTTTTCTCCATAACAGTGTGGAAAGGGTGAAAAGAAAGTACCAGAGCATTGGTAAAGTGGTAGCATCATGGCAACTCACTAAGTGGAATTCCTTTGGTCAAGACAAACATAATTAGCTAAAGTGTTTGTGACCTGTCAAAAAATGTGCCCAGTGTAGACAAGCTTTTGCATAGTTAATGATTATGGTCCATAATAGACGTTTTTTGAGTTAGTGTTAAACTAATTATGGTCCAGATATGAAGTGGTTTATGACATTTCCCCATTCCCCCTCCCCCCGCACTGAAATTGGTAGATCATTTTTCAGCTGGGAATGCTAATACTAACTAACTTAAAGTATGTTATTACAGTGTTTTACTTACACGGTGTCTGGGGTAGGTCGACTGTGTTGGCCATCAGTGAAAAAAAAACTTCTAAATTAGACTAAAGTCCAAGACATCGACTCTGTCTTATCCAGAATGTTCAGAAGTTTAGAAGGGGTAGCGATCACAAAAAAAAAACCTTGGCCTGCAATGTAGTGCACATCATTGACTTAAATTGTGGTTCTAAATAATCATTCTCAACCTAAATGATTTGTGTATACTTATAGTTGATGGATGAAGGCCTCTCCACAGTGTGTGTTAGTTCACCAGAATTGTTTGACCATGATTCACCCTGCTGGTCAGTGTGGGTTGACAAAGGGGAAGCCCCAGGCTGGTTTAGATATTGCTCAAAATTAATGTTTTCAAACATAAGATAATACAGTATAACAATTAAAAACTGTCCCTCTGTATCGCCACAAAAATATGAATTGCATTGCAGTTTATTGGCACGCCGATCTTGCTGCTGGTTAATGTGTCTGAAAAGCTAAGTAGGATAATAGACTGGAATACATTTCGTATTTATTTGGAGATAGAGAGCAACAGTTTTTTTTAAAATAACTAAATATAGTAGAAATTAGCTGTATTATCTAAAGTACTACATGATTATATAATAAATGGACTTGATGGTACCGTGAGGTCATTAATCCTTTATAACACTACCTGTATTTCTATAAAACTAACTGTTTTGTTTTGTATGGCTCTTGGCCTCGCAAGTATTGCCACTGATGCATGACCGTGTTGCCAGCACATCTGACTTCGAGTTGTAAATGCCATCTTGACGTACGGCAATGTAAAATAAGTGACGAAAACGACGCGAGGATTCCATCGGCAGCTGATGTTTGGTGTGCAAATCTTTTAAATGAGGGTTATCCTGCAAAGCTTGATAACCCAAATGCATTTTCTTTCAGATACCCCATTGGGAACTTCATCGGAAGAGTTTTTTTCCACTTTCATTGTATCACTTCCCTAGAGATGGCCACACAATGAACCTAACACATCACAATTTTTTTCATCGTCGTAAGTTTTCAAGTCTCTCTCGGACTCTCCTCAAAGGGGACAATCCGTAACACGAGGCTTTTGAAGGGTGCTCATTTCAAAGTACATTTTGGTCAGAGGCAAAATAATAATCGCCCCCGCTATTGCTTTGAAGAACTGTTTCATTTCATGAGAATGAAACATCTTTATATGAATGTATAGGTCCCAGTTTTATTTTCATTATCGCATATGGACTTTGGGGTACCTAATAAAATGCACGAATTGTCCTTTGTTCTTGACAAAAGCAGATGGCCTTTTGCTTACGAAAATAAATAATTCTGGCATTTTTTTCGTGCTCATGTGTTTCCTTACTGTTTTATAAGTATTTTCTTTGCTTTGCAAATGCCTCCCTCCATGGCTCCCTGCTGTGCCTAATTACCCACTGATTAACTGCAACCTGCAGCCATGTGGTTATTTTTAAGATGGCAACATGGTAAGGTCGGAATAAGATGTATTGTGGGGAACACATAAAAGGGAAAATGAATAGCAGACCGTTCAATCTCCGGTATTTTGACGTTAATGTACTTCATCAAGCGCACTTGGAAGCCTTCCAAGCCAAACAATATAGCAGTGTCTTTTGTCACACTGAGAGCTTTATAGGATCGTTACTGAGTGGCATAAAATGTTTCTGCAACGCATACCAATTAATATCATTTGGCCATTAAAAGCAATACATAACGCAACTACTTTGTATACTATCATACAGCAGCAAATCTTTGTTTATATTTGACCTGGGACTCGATGCTGTCCTTTTTTAAGGATACATTGTTGCAAAGGTAGCTCAGCTAGTTTGCCGCTTGTTACAGAGGCCCGCAGTTGAAACCCAGCAGGCTGCCCTGGTATTATTGTGGGTGTATTCACCATAAACACACGTGCCGTCCTCTTAAATGTGGACGTTAAAGATCCCCTAACTTCATTCAATATTAGTAGACCATTCACCGATGTCATGGCCCAAATGTGCAAAATAATTACCTGCAAATGACTCAATTGGGAGTACACATAATCGCACCCTATTGACAGACTAATTCCCATATACAGGCCAGGTGCTGAGTCATCTTGTGCCATACAGGGACAGCTCCCACTGGGGTGAGGGGTTTTTAGAAATTTGAGCTGAGATGTGAAAGAACCAAAGAGTATGGATCCTTGCAGTCACGAAAACTTCAAATCTAGAATAAACTGAGATGTGATGTAAGTCACAAATTGCGTGTAAAGGGCTCTGAAGTGCCTCGGCATAAAGGGCGTTACATTTAAAATAAATATATAATGCGGAAAGGGTTCTGGCACCAAAGAGTGATTGCAGCGCGAGCTGCAATCAGGTTTTGCGTAAGATCATAACAACTTGACATTGGCAATCTCCAAGACAGGTCAAAACACTTCTCTTTCTGCTTCTTACCTCGAATTCCCTCCTATTATCGTCTGTTTTCCCAAGCTCTTATCACCTTCCTCAATTCTAAAAACACGTTAACTCTTTTGACAGTCCTGTTTTTTGCTGGTGTTGCACACTCGAAATGAAGGACGTGGGCAGGTGCTCCAAATCGAGGGCAAACACATTTATTGTGGATAATCTGTGAGATGTAACAGCACGTGGTGTCACACACAGCAACCCTCAACCGAGTCGCCATTAACCACGTGACTAGTGTACACGTCCGGTTAATCAATAACCCTGCCAGCCGCCTACAGGCCCAACTCCGTTATCGCATGCTGCTGTACGCACGTGCATTGATGCACTGCCCAGCACATCAGGACTTTCACAAAACTACACTTTACTCCCTTGCTGCAGGAGGAAATAATTAAAAGAGTGGTCCATTCCT